AGTGCTGGGACATGTGCTTGGTGTTCCCAGGGCAGCTGCTGCTTCACTGGGAAATGCGAAACGCTGAGCGTGCAGGAGAGCCTGGAAGCTGCCCGAGGACTCCTCCGACTTCCCCGTGGGTGTCACATCGTTCACCTCAGGCTTCCAGCATGTGGCTGACCTCAATATCTTGGGTTTCTTGGGTGTTTTAGGGGTTTGTTGTTGTTGTTCCTGTTTTGTCTGGTGTGGATATGGCCTTGGCAGCGGCGCAGCGAGCGGGCCCAAGCGGAGGAGAGGACGAGGGTGGTGCCCGTGCGGGGCGTCGGGGCCCTGCCGTGTTTGTATGTGCTGCGGGCGCCGGTTGAGGCTGCGGCTTCCCCGCCTCCCACCCCGCTGTGCAATTATTGCCGCGAATCTTTGTCAAGTACAAATTACAAACCATTCAGGCCTTCAAGAGCTGTCAATCAGGCGCTGCTTATTATCCTAATCAAACGCACTAAAAATAGGGACAAAACTTATTAGCAGGGGGAAGGGTATCAAAATAGAGCTGCGCCCTGGCATGTCCTCTGCATGTTAACTGCCGCCCGCGGCGCCCACCCAGCGAGAGCTCGGGCGATTTGGGCTGCGGAGCGGCAGCTCCTGCTCCTTGGCACCCGTTTCTTTGTAAACCCTCCCATCCCTGCACCTTTGCTGGCACGAGCTCCTGCATGAGGGTGAGGGGCTGCTGCTGGTGTCGCTTGCTCCGAGCAGGGCTCAATGACAGCGCAGTAAAAACACCTGCGCGCTCTGCGAGGGCACCTGCCTCTGGGAGCATCTAAGGTGCTGCCTGCCCTGCCAGCGTCTTTCTTGGGTGTGTTTTGGCCCTGGATGAAACGGGAAACCTTGTTCTGGCCTTCTTGCGTGCCAAGATCCGTGAGGAAGCTGCGGGAAGCAGCAATTCCTAGTGTTGCACAACAGAGAATGGGAGATTTTGAGGCTGGTGGCAAGGCCTGGCAAGGTCACTGTCCACCCTGTGCCTTTCCTGCTGTGACCCGGAGCTCTGCCCTGAGCTGCTGTTTCAGACACATAGTGTTTCATTCTAACTCTTGTGAAAACTTTGGTGAAAACTTGATTTTTTCGGCCTGATCTACCCCGAGCAGCGTGAATTGCTGCAAGCAGCCCTTGTGTGGTACCGTGTTCCCGGTGCCAAGGGCCCCTTTGGTGGCAGCGCGTCGTGCAAACTGGTTGTATCCGTCACATCCTGGAGCGCTGGCAGTGCCTCACGCCCAAGCGGAGCGCAGCTGGAGCAAGCGGCTCCGCGCGTCCCCTCAGGGAAGCAGCCGAAGGCACCGCGGGGAGGCTGGGGCGCCCGCGCTGCCGCCCGCGCCCTTCCCGGGCGGCTTCGATGAAGTAGAGCAGAGAATCGTCCCCTCTTCACACATGAGAGATCAGAGCGGGCGGCGCGAGCCCCGGGCTGGGGGCACCAGGAGCAGCGGGAGGAGGAGGGGAGGGAGCGCGGGCCGGGCGGCAGGGCAGGGGCTGGGGGCTGGCGGGGCCGCCCTGACCTTCCCCTCTGTCTCGCTGACGGCTGCAGCAGCTGAGGCGCCCGCGGCCCCTTCCCCCCCCGCGGCCGCCCGGGGCTGGGG